CCCATCTAGAGCTTCTTTGGTAAGGCATTCGCTGTACAAGTTGAACAGAATTGGTGATAAACAGCATCCTTGTCGAACTCCTCTTCCAATCTATACACTTCTTGTCTCCCCTCTGTTCATTCGCACTCTAACTTTCTGATCCATGTACAATTTACTAATCAATCTTCTTTCACGCCAATCGATACCTGTTTCCTTTAGGATCTGCATTAATTTGGTCCAATTTACACAGTCAAATGCCTTCTGCCTGTCTATAAAGCAAGCACACAGTTCTTCATCTATCTCCAAAGTTCATTCTGCTATAATTCTCATCATCCCAATTGCATCCCTGGTTCCTTTTCCTCTTCTAAATCCAAACTGATCCTCTCCAAGTATATCCTCTATTTTCCTTTCAGTTCTTGGTGTAAGGATATGAATAATTTATTTGTTGCTTGATTTCTACATAACAGTATAAAAGATGCCTTATCAGTGATCATTACTAGCTTGCTACCTTCATAGTGCAAGGTCTCTCTTGAAACTGTGGTAGTTACTCAGGCAGTAAAGAGATTATCTGCTTGTGAGGCTCCTGAAGGATGGTTACCATGTTCACAAAATTCTGTCTTCAGTTCCTATGATAAGTCATGTTGATATTTGTTCTCCTATGTGTGCTTAAGCCCTCTTTGTTGCAAGTAGTCAGTACTACCCTTTTTCTTATTGATTAATTTAATGTATTGCTGTGTTTAACACTCTTGACATATATGTATGGTATGATCATAGGCATTCAGTATGAATGAATGTATAAGAGGTGGGCCATCAGGCATTCAGTATATACATGTGAATGCATAAAACAAAAGTAATTGCTTTAAATCATCAGTCTCTTTCTTAATGTGTTTGTACAGTGAAATGCACATTTAAGGCTTTCTCACATTGAATTCTTAAATTCTTTGATCCCAAGTCAGTACTCTTTATTAAGTATCTTGCATATAAGATTTTCCTTAGTTTTTTGTTAAAATTCAGGATTTGGGATAGCTCAGCATAGCAATGGGCTATGGGCTGGATGGCCCAGGTTTGATTCCTGGCAGGGTAGGTTTGTTCTCTCCACTGCATTCAGATGAATTCTGGGGCCCATTGAGCCTCCAGTCCAGTGGGTACTGGGGTGATTATTCTGTGGATAAAATGGCAGAGGCATTAAAGTGATCACTCACCTCCATTTAATGTCGAGGTCAAGAATGGTTGATCTATACGTGCAGTCTCCCATATGTCTTCATGACAGTGCTGAAGTAATTAAGCACGGTGACAACTTTTCCATATTTTATTGTTCAGATCCACTTCTTTCCAATTCCTGTGCCTTGTTTTGTGTGTGTGTGTGAGAATATGTGTAGCTATATGAACTTCTTATGAACTTTAAAATAAATAACCGTAACAAAACATGTTGCCAAAATATGAATTTGGCCTCTGTCAGTACTGTGGCACATAGACTCATTGCAAAGCAGTTATGCAACAGCTGTTGCTAAGTAATGCAAACAACGGCCATTGTAAGGCAATGGCAGGGTAGTGATCACATGGTCATCACAACAGACGTGAATGAAGCAATGGATACAGCAACAGGAATTGTGTTTTCTGCGCAGTCCATGCCGAGTTGTTATAAGGAGGACTGTTGGAGCAGTGAATTAGTTTGAGATGTGGTGTGAGTGCTGGAACATAAAATCAGTGAAGATAAGAACTGAGGCCATCTACTTTTGTCATAGACTTAAGCCCTCTAAGGCTCATCTTACATTGAATGGACAGAATATCCCCTTCCTCAGTCATGTAAACATCTCTGTGTAATCTTCGATAAGAGGATTACATGGTGACTGCATATAGAAATGACTGAAGCCAGAGACTTCAGAACATTTATTGGACTCTACTCCCTATTCAAAAGTGAGTGTTTAAATGCCAGCTTTAAAATAACACTCAATAAAACACTGATTAGATCAGCATGACTTATTCTTGCCCAGCCTGGGAATTTGTGCAGACACCTATATCTTAAAATTGCAGTACCTGCAATATGAGGTTCTCCAAACCATTGGAAATTTTCCAAGGTGCACGCTGGTCTACGATTTGTATATGGCTTTCAGCCTTGCATATGTGTACGATTATATAACAAAACTGTGCTGGCAGCAAGTAGACGTCATACAAAATCATTAGAATAAACATGTTCCTAGCATAGGACAAGGTGAAGTCAATTGTAGAAAATATAAGAGGCTTAGGTTAGGTTACTTGGCGGTGGTCAAGCTTATAACCATTAAAGTGACTAAACTGTCATTGTAGTATAAGCTAAGTGTGAGAGGTGTGATATGCTTTGCAAAGCCTGGACTGACAGAGGATTTCTATATAGTGCAAAAGCAAGAATTTTTAATAACATGCTGTATGTGTGTTATATATACTTGACAAGGCCAAGCATATTCATAAGAGAGGATGTTACATAAGGACTATAACCGCAAGGATTCAGTTGAAAAAAAATCTTTGGTCATGATCCTTGAGGGGCTTGGCACCAAAACGAACTGATTGGCGGTAAACCACCAGTTGTAAAGTAACTCTGATTCTCTGAATGAGTTAGTTGTGGGACAGTTGCCAGCTGATAAGAATGTGAGCACGGAAGTACAGGACATTGTTGGAATGTGTCACAAGCCAATGACTGGTGAAGTTGCAGCAGACTGAGAAGACTTAGTATGTGCTATAGTGAACAGCATTTTGTGTGTGAATTAGTGATAATACTATAGATACGCATATTTATGATCTGTAAGTTTTCAATGAATCCAGTTATAAAAGCAAATCCCATCTGTAGTCACTCATACATGTGACAGTGCTTTACTTGAATATATACCTGACGAGAACATATTCCACATAAACGTTACGGATATTAGTAATTTAGTATTTTATGCCATGCACAGGTTTCTTATTTTTTTATCTCTTCTTGCTTTTCTCCTTCATATGTTTGTTGTTATACCTTTTGCTTAACAGCTATTAATGCTATGGGATTAATCTTCAGTTTGATTATATTTTCAAGACATTCTGGAAGTTATCAGTATAGTAACAGGATTTTTTCTTCCCCCACTCCAATATTAATGTGTCACATTTGTTTTATTACATATTTATTTTTTATTTGTTAATTTGCACATATCCAGTTTGACATGGTTTTCTAATGTTCCAAGAATATATAGCAGGTCAGATAATACCCATATATACATATACACACATGCGCGCCTGCATGCATGTACATATGATGTGCTTTTATTTATTTTTGTAACTATTGGTCCATATTACTCATTTTAGAAATTTTGTGTTTGCAGATGTGAAAGCAGTCTTCAGGATGCATTTTCAGAATTACGTTGTTTCATATTGACTTGTTGGATTTCTGTCTAATGAGTGTCATATTTCATTTTCTATCTCCAGGATTGCCGTCAGCCATTCCATGGAGGATCATTTTTTGATCATGAAGGCTTGCCATATTGTGAAACACATTACCATGCAAAGAGAGGGTCACTATGTGCTGGATGCCATAAGCCGATCACAGGTTTGTACTTGGAACTTCTGAATGTTGTAGCCTTTATTAAATCCAGATCACTGGCAAGAAGAGATTGTTTCAGTGGAACTTGTTTGTTAACCTTTTTCATATGTGTTTCTTAAATATCATTTGCTGCACATAAGTAGATCTGAAATGTTTGTAATTTTTCAGAATTCCAGACTTTCTATCCTGGTTTACTCACTGTTAAAGAGTAGTCCAAAATTAATTTGTGGATAATCTACAGGCAGCATGTGAGGGTAGAAAGATTACATGATAATTTCTTAAAACTGAGTATGCTGTGATTTGTACGTGTGCTATGCATGGATGACTATAGGATTCCTTTGACGACCTAAAAATGGTGGCATAGAAATGACCACTGTGGAAGCAAGGACTGTATGGCAAAAGACAGAATGGGGAGGGTGTGAACACATGCAAGAGTAGCGCTTGTGTGGATATGAAGAAGGCCTCCATGTGGTAGATATGTCGGTGGATGATCATGTTGATAATGGATAGGCAATAATTTTATCTTATATGCACCACTTTTGACTCCTCTGTTAGAACTCACAATTACCAATTTCTCTTTATTTGTTGTATCTTTTGGTAAAGGTAAATTTATCCTGTTGCTTAAAGCATTATGCTGTGAAGATAAGGGGGGAGTGGAGATAATGCTCCACACATTATAAGCTTCTACACTTGATGGAGATGAGTGACCATTTTCATGTTTCCACTGCTTCACCCCCAGGAAAGGAGCCCCATTGATTTATTTAGATATTTTTGATGTAGTTCTCACCTTTCATACCCCAGTATTTCTGTGCCAAAGTCGTATTTGGTGTGAATGCATGGTTATGGAGAGCATAGACATTGGAAGTGTTCTAATCTTGTCATGGAGGTACCTGGAATGCAGCTCTCTGTCATGTGTAAGTGGTCAGAGCATTGCGTCCTGACTGCCGACACCCCTGCAGAAGGTTGTAGTAATCACCTCTTCAGGCACAGTAAAGTTATATTAGCAGTTTTCTTTATTTTGTCTGTAATGTGATCTATCTCATAAATTATATGGGTATTTGAGGAGTAGTATGAACACATCTTGGAAAGCTGATGTGTTGCTCAAGAACCTGCAGTCAGGCACTATTTAAGTGTCTTAAGTGAAATAGTTTAGATATTTATTTGCTACTTCTGTACATCACATACTGTGGCTCAAGGGCGGGTAAATTATGACCTGTGGGCCACGAGAATGTTTAATGCAGCCTATACGAGTATTCAGATGTTTTAATAATAATGATCTTTATCAAACAGATTTGGTGCCAGGGCCAATTTCCATGGGGTTGAAGCAGGTGAGGCATGATGCTAACCACTCACCTCCTCCTAATGCTGAGGTCAAGAATGTTGGAACTATGCCTCCTCTCCCCCATATATCTTAATGGCATAGTGCTTAATTAATTAAACACAAACAACTTTACCTTATTTTTATCAAATAGATTTTGATGGCAAAGCAATTTTTAGGGCTTACATTATTTACAGTACCTGCAGTTGGATATGAGAGAGTCATACGGACCCTCCGTCAGATTTAGTTTAGCACTTTTCTCCATTCCTTGAGAACACCAGTCAAGGTTGGGATAGTGTGCGAATTTTATTTTTATGTCTTTTGATATATCTGTAAATTATGCTCAGCCAGTGTGAATAATTGATAGCAATTTAATAATACTTGAATAACTTTGTGGGATTGTCGATGTTCTAAAAGACAACCACATAAATCTGTAACAATTGTATATATTAAATTGTATAAATTGAATGTACAGAATAGCTGCGAAGCTATGTGGAATGTCAAAAGTTGGCTGGCCCTGAAAAGGACAGTTTGTTCCACCGTGAGTTTGCTGGTAGAATTTGCTCCTTTGTAGTAGACCAAGTCTTTACGGCTGTTCAGCTGGTTTGTCTGGCCGGTAATGTGGTGCTGCGTGCGCCTCTAGGTACAGCTGCCTATGGTGCGGATGATGACTGAGCCGTTGTCTCGGCTTGGTTGCTGGAGAGTTGCAGCAACTACATTAGCTACCTGGTTGCAGAGCAAGGTTGCTGGAGAGTTGCAGCAACTACGTTAGTTGCCTGATCATTATTATTATTATTTTGGAGGGGGTGGGTTTCCCCATGCACTGTGACCAGTTGTTGTTCTATTATGCCTCCCCCTATAATTATTCTAGTTTCCATGCCCTTCCACTACTGGTGCTCGCTATCAGCCCTGTTATGCCAGCGAGGTCAGCCTTCTCTGGCAGTGGTCCCCAATACTTCCCCATCTACTGGAGGAATTGGAAACTACTTGGGCGGGAAACTTTGCCTAATTTTGCTCAGAGGTCTCCTAGAGACATGAGGATCTTTTACATGCCATAAATCTACAACACGGGACACACAGCTTAAAGTCCCTCCAGGAGGACTTGTTCCCTGAATTTTTTCGCCCTTAAAAATTCCACGACCTCTGCCGGGTTTGAACCCGCAGACCTTGAGTCATGAGGTGGGAACGTTACCCCTAGACTACGGAGGCCGCTTGCCTGGTCATAGAGCATGGTTGCTGGATAGCTGCAGCAGCTACGTTAGCTGTCTGGTAGCAGAGCGCGGTTGCTGGAGAGTTGCGGCAGCTATCTTTGGTGCAGTGAACAGCTCATGACTGATGACTGATTGCTCTGAACTGAATGTGATCACTGATCATTGCGAGCTTTGGGCTCCGCTTTTATACCATGCTTGCTGGGCGGAGCTTAAACTTGCAGTTGCGATTGTGAGTGCTGATTGGCTAGCGCACGTGATGATCTACAGGTGGGTTGGACATCGAGTGCTGTATAAATATGAGCATCAACAGGAATGTGATATTGACCTAGGAGTGAGTGCTGTCTGTTAGACCGGCGAAACCGCATGTTAGTATGTGGGATGTTCCCACATCTTCAAAATCACTCCATCTGGCATGTGCATAAAAGGAATCGACTCTTTGTGGTCTAGATGATGAGCAAGTTCCACAGTCTGTGTCTGTCATTGGTAGAGTTGTTATTGTTGCTCCACTGTTACCAGATTAGTGGGCAGCTGAATGAGTGATTTCCCATTAGAGCCATAGTTGTGACTGTATAACAAAATCACTGTTTGTTGCAGGTCGCTGTATCACAGCCATGTTCCGCAAGTTCCATCCTGAACATTTTGTTTGTGCCTTCTGCCTCAAGCAGTTGAACAAGGGGACTTTCAAGGAACAGAATGATAAACCATATTGTCATGCTTGCTTTGACAAGTTATTTGGGTGAGCAAAGACCATGCACTATACTGGGTTTGTGGTCTTAGGGTGTTTCATTTGTTACTAATAGCCTATATCTTTTTATGGATATCTCACAAATTAATAATAACATAAGTTTGAGAAAACATTTATCAACAGGTGGCTGCTGAACAAATCAAATACCAGAACATAATTGTATGCTGTTTTTCTTTGCATAGTAAGTGCCACATAATCTTAAAGTTTGCTTTAGAGATACTGTATGTATGTATGGGAAATTCTTAGGGAATAGCATCATTTAGTCATGTCATGTAATTATATGAAGAGATGTTCGTGAAGCTTGTGAGATAATAGAGAAACATGTTTTGTATTCTTTTAATACAGGTTCACTGATTTACTCAAGCATGAATGCATTCTTTAAGGTTGCAGTCTTCCAAGCTTTCATTGTTTTTGGTTATGCTCATTATACCCTTATATTTGCGATGAGTGGATTTGCTGCTGTGTCAGATAAATTAGTAGTATCCATATTCAGGGCTGTTACAATAATTATACTAAAAAAAAGGTAAAACTCTCCCCTGTATGAGGCGGTGGAGTCCTGTAGGGTCATGAGACGTTGAGTCTTCCATATTTTCTAGACAGTCAGCTGATAGATGGCAGTAAGGTTGTCACCCTTACATACCAGCCGCCCTTTATCCCCATTGAGATCCTGGTACTCATTTCTATTAGAGGCTGAGTCAATCCCAGGACAATGATGCATCTGGAAGAATTAGTTCAATTGAAAATTCCATTGACCTCATCGGGAATCAAGCCTGTGACTTTCCGGTGCGTAGCATAGTGCCTCAACCAATTACGCTACTGTTTGACCATAATTATATATTTCTTATATAATTGACATGTTTATGTTAAATGATACCTATGGCAGTGTCGTTTAGTAGGTGCAAGTTTAATATAGGGTAAACTCCCTATTATCTGGCATGAATGGGGAATGTGACGTGCCAGATACAGTGAAACCCAGATTCTGAGGTATGTCTAGGGAATAAGCTTTTTGTACCTTAGAAAAGGAATTTTGGAAAACAGCCTAAAATGACTGTTAACTGAGTTGCATCAATAATATGACACTGAAACTTGTTCATTTAATAAATTTAATTTTTTTTTTGTTTCTCAGAATGTGACACTAATTCATCTCTGCAAAAATTTAAGCTCTCTGTAGAGTTATGTTACTTAATGACAATAGATGCAGCACAAGACATGTTGCAATTTCATATAGTGACATAGTTGGATTCCCTTCCACCTCCTAAATAATTTTTTACTTTTTGAGGTATTATTAAATGTCGTTCATAACTTCAGAATCACTTAAAAGAAAATTATGACCCTTGAATACAACATGAAAGGAAGAAACAGTAGTCATTTCCAACTGACACAGAGAACAAACAAAGAATGGGTATACAACAGTGCTGCATTGCATGCCCTGCAAATGGTGGCCCTGAACTCTGTGAGGTGGATGACATGCAGGTTGGAACACAAATAACGAGATCAGGAACATGCATAGGAATCAAAGTTTTGTGCAGAAACTGGGGGCTAAGTCATTGATGATGCATTAAACATAGCTCTGGCTGGGTCCCTAGGAAATGTACCTTAAATGCAGGGAAAGATAAAATTTAAATCTCTTAAATTGGGTTTTACTGCATCATGCTGGTTGCATGAGAGAAACCCTTACAGTAATCCAATTTTCACCAGATTCTCACCCTTTTCTACTTTCTGCATATTTCTGGGCTTTGTTTCAAAGTTAAAACAACATTTTTTTCACTTTAATTGGTGCATGTGAGTCTTAGGCAACAGTGGATGCATGGATGAAGGATTATAGATATACTGTATCGTGAACACAGATTCATCTAGCCTTTGCTGTAATGGCAACTGTATCTGGAGTCAACAGGTAGCACTGTTAGTGGCAGCTGGAACTTATTTGCAAATTATTGTTGGTTGCATGAGAATTCTTGATGCTTGGCTACCAGATAATTGGGAGTTTATTACATTTATTTATGTGTTTTTGACAAACACCATAATGACCATTCTGTCCATATATCTGTATACTTAATATTCATGATTGGATGCCATTGCATAATTCATACATAGACTCTAAAAATTACCATTGGGTTAAGTGGCTTATGGTGCTCGTGGCCATATGTTAATATATGGGGTTATTTGGTCATTCTGTGTTCTGATAGGTGGACCAATTGGAATGCATTTTGAAACTAGGTTCCTTGCTAGGGCAGTTACACAGCTCCTGGAGGGAGGTGATCTGAAAGGTGAAAAGACAGTGTGTTTACCCATGGAATCCCAGAGGCTGGGGGAAAAACAGTGTAGACTGTGATATAAATAGGGCCATTAAATCTGCTGTCATGACTTTGCCCTGAAGATGGAAACTCGTAAGTTCTTGAAAGCATTGGTACACCAGCTGATAACAATACAATGTATAAGTCCACCCAGAAATATAAAAGCAAGTATTATATTGAGTGCTTCACATCATAGCTCATGACTGAAGTCTCAGTAATGAAAATTAACAATATACTTTGACCCTGATAATGGAGGCATTGTGTTCCTCCAAAACATTAGCTTAATTTATACTGGGCTACAGGATGATAATTCTTGAAGATAGTTCTCTTCATGATTGTATGTGAATTGTCACTTTTCAAATGTTTGTTAAGCCCAGCAAGGAGACATATATTACATTCCATAGGTTTGTAGTTTGATGCATCATTCAGAGTGGATGCTGTTATTTAAAATACACAGCGCAGTTCAGGGTGACTTTGACATGCCACAGTTTTTGTTCTCCTGTGGACCTTTAACACACTGAGTACTGATCACAAGAATTATCATGTTTTTTAGTTCAGTCAGTAGGGATTCATAATAGAAGTGTCTGTTTTCTTACATATTATTTTACTTTGTAGAATTTTAATCTTATGTTCAAATGTCTGAAATAATTCTGTTGAAATGTGATGGTATAATGTCTTAACAGTGGTTGATATACTTTCACACAGAAAATATTTGGCATGTAGTGGATTAAGAAGAATTTAATGAAATGACATGGTTTTCCTCTGTTCCTTCATGCACATGCTGAGATAATACCAAAATTGTGCTACAACCTCTTTCTTACACATCCTTTCCAGTTCATTATTTTCTAATCACCATATCATTTGTAGGATTTGAGATTCTCACAGCGGTGGTTGTGAAGAGTTCTATCATTTGGGATATAATACCATGTAATTCATTGAAAGTCAACCAGCATTTTGAGGAACACATTACCTTTATATTCAGAGTCAAAGAATGTGTCAAGCAAGAATCCAGCATGAAGTAGGTAGCAAGCAGAGCAGAACAGAGCAGATCTTGCTGCCTACTTCATACTGGTTTCTTCCTTGGCTTATTCTTTGACCCTGAAGATGGAGGTGACATGTTCCTCTGAAAAGTGGGTTGACTTTCAGCTGACTACTTGATATTGTATCTCAGAAAACAGAACTCTTCATCATAACATTGGATGCCATTGATGGTGTTTTGTTAAACCATTCATAAATGAATAATGCAACATGCTGTCCTTTATGAATTCCTGTAAAAGCAGCCACAAATTTATGTGTGAATACGGACACATGGAAGAATGATTTCTCATCATAAAGGTGTCATTGTTGTTTTCATTGGTCAACCATGTCATAACTTTAACTCCTATCTTTTATAAAATGCTTTCGTATGGGTATCCGCTTGTGAAAAAGGTTACCCAGTTTCTCACACTGGGACTTGCCCAGTCCACTATCTTAATCTGCCATATCCTCTCCACACCCAGTCATGTTATATCCAGAGTCTGTTTCAGTTAAAGGACTTTATCATAGCAGAATTTTCATGCAGTGTACCTACAGAGCCTGAAATGATAATTTGGCCCATCTATAACATCTGGAGATATTAAAGGGACATATTATGCAAAAGAACATTGAGAAAAATTGGTTGAAAAACTCTTCTTTGGATAATTTTAGAGATTAAGAAGTTATAATAAACTTTAAAGATTAATGTTAAACAGTTTAGAAGCAACTACATATAACAGTAAAAATAATAATAGTTAAAAACATCTATTTTATGGCATATGGGAAAATGTAAACATGAGCATGTCATGTCAGTGTGAATTGAATCTTTGTGGTCATTACAATTGGATTAAATATCTGAACTGCTACTCTAGAGGTAGCCCCAATCCCATAAACAGGTGTACACACAGGGCCTTCCATGAAGTTTGCATGAAGTTACACACAACAGAACATGACTATAAATTGAATTAGACATAACGTGCTATACACACGATTACTGTGCTGAGGGTTATTTTTCCATAAAAATGGAAGTTTTGGAAGAAGATTGTGGTTTTACACAATTCGAAGACTTATTTCTATAAGATACTGAAACATAACAAAAACAGGAAAGTTAATACAAGAGCAAGGATTAAGAGAATGGATAGAAAATTATCATGTAACAATGAACCACATGAATAAAAGTAGAACAGTAAAAAGGGCTTACTGTTTTCCAAGTTTAAGTCATAAGTCACATCAGAACAAACACACTATTTTTTCAGAGTAATCTTACAGTAATATTTTCTGTGGCAGTGATTTATTTTGGGGGTTCTAATTCTTTGGAATCCTATTAGCAAGCATCATGTTTGCCCATCTACTGCTTCAGCTGTGAATGCCAATATTACAGATTCTCAATAGACTGATTTTCAAGAAACCTGGCATGAACTTCATGGCACAGGATACCTTCCCTTCTTGATGTCATCTGATTTAATATGATTGATTGTACCAATGTGGCTGTCATGTGAACTTTTGAGGTGGGAGCAGGGAATAGAGTTTTGTCAAGTATGCTGCTTTTATTACAGTACTTAAGAAAGTGGAAAATATTATGGTGGTTGCACAAACTTTTGTGCAGAGTTCTTAACCGACAATTATAACTTGACCTCAAAAATTTGTATGGTGACATGTTAAAAAACATCTGCTGATGGTACAAGTGATTTTAAAATTTACTGTGTATAATCTTTGAGAACCTTAAAATGCACTAGCTAATGGCAGGTGTGTATAATACTTGTTACAATCATTGCATGCAGAAGATCATGAAGGTATAGTACAGTCTTAGTGATCGTGGAATCTCTCCAACATTTTTTTAGGTGTAGTTTGTTTTCAGTAATTAAAATCAGTTAAAGATATCTGATGGTACACTTGGCTTATTTGCTGTGTTGATCACAGTTATTTTATAAGGTTAAATTCATAGAAAATATTACTGAAGGTAATTGTACTGTCATAACTATGAATATTTCCTCCACTGGTGTGTAACTCCCTTACCGTTTATTCCCATGAAAGTGCAGCTAGGTGATGACTCCCTCATATCTCTGGTAATAGATTCCTGCAGAGTAAATGGCAGAATGATCAGAAAAGAAATTTTGGTGAACTTCTATTTGTGTTGTGTATTAGTTTTCTCTATGATGTATCTATGTGTTTCATAGAAAATAGTTTAAGTTATCAAGCTTCAGTAACATTATATGCTTATTCATAAGTTAGCCAAGACAGGCCATTATTGTAAGCCAATCATAAGATAAGCCATAATATTTAAAGTCTTACTTAATGGCCTACCAAAATTTTCGTCATGCCTCATTTGTTGGAGCAGTGGATGTTATATAATCATGTGGTAACATATTGTTGATGAGGAAGAACTAATATAATTCATATATTTAAAGTACTTTGTCATCTTGTGAATCAGTGGTTCACACATATGGCCAAGACTAGTTTTCTGTTCCTGCAGGTGGAAATATAACTAGACAGTAGGCTTAATATCACATTTGTTCTTTTATATTTCATTTCCTCGTTCAGTAAGTGTAACTGCAGAAGTTGTGTGTAACACATTGAGTCACTCTTTAACAAACTGTATCTGCCTGCGAGAGGAGTTTCAGTCTTATTGTACAGTTAGCATTAAGATTCCAGTTTTTGATGAAGTTTTATGGAGCAAATTTTATAAAATGGTTGTTTTTTTCCTTGGGAACAATATTTGGTTTCCATTGTTTTCAGTGTTATTAATGTTATTAATTTAATATTACATCTTTAAAAAATCAGGCCAGATATAGAAGATTAATGTAATCCCAATATTTTTATGGCTTTAACATATCTGTTGTGTGGAGTTGTATATACCCATAAAACTAGATCTAACAATCCATAATTCTCCATGTATAAAGAAACAATGCTAGACAAAGGGGAGTGATGTTAACTTTACGTTTCACCTTAAGCTGTTAACTGCTAAATAAGAATTCAGTTTGAAAAGAAAGAAACTCAAAGTGAAAAGTTTGTTTCATCATCAGTTTTACATTTTAATTTATGTATTATTATTATTTTTTGTACTGATGACATAGGCACACTTGGACTCACTTTTGTTGATAATGCAGCATTATTGTTTATATCTCTCACATGCAGAAGTTGTCATTACATGTAAAACATAGAGAATAAACTACTGAAAAGATAATAGGTATAAGAATTTGCGTTCTGGTCTACCATTATTTATAGGTGTATGACATTTTGCAGTGTTTAACAAAAGGTGTTGGTTAACAGTCTAGTAATGTATCAAGTGTGACAAGATGAAAGTTTAGGGCGTATCCACTGAAACCTACCCAAATTCAGTGATAATTTGATGATATATTAAAATTTAATATGCAAGAGGTGTTAACAGTCCAGTAATGCATAAAGTGTGATAACGACATGCGAATTTAGGGTGTATTCGTTGAAACCTACCTCACTTCAGTAATAATTTGATGATTATTAAAATTTAATTTGCGTGTGTTTGTGCTGCCATTCATTTATGCTACTTTAATGCACAAAAACTACAAAATATATATGCACAGGATTAATGCAAATGAAATATATGCTTTTAAGGCACTGCTTTTAAAACAACTTATCCTGAGAAAAATTCTGATGCTTGTGTTATAGTGAGCAGCATGATTTCATTTAAGAAGACATTGTGCAAGGTACTGTTAACAGAATAGAGTTCTTGGAAGAAGGGTTGGTTATAGAAGCCCTAAACCATGGCCCATAGATCTCCAGATCCAACTCCTAATAACAGTTTTCTGTGAGATGTGGTTAAAGATCATTTATGTAGTCTATATTTACCAGATGAATATAGTAACCTAAAACATAGCATTAATGAGGGCATTATATTATTTGAACAAGGAAACTTGCAGTAAGTTTGAGACAATTTGTTGTATCATTTTGGTTGTTGCCAGAATTATGAACATAGCTAATATTGATGATTTGTTGGAATTACTTTTGTTGTTATAGGTAATTGTTTCCATTGATACTAATATAACTTTTGTAAGACTATGTTCAGAATAAATGTTTAAAAGTGTATAATTAATTTGTAGTAAATCTGTAAGGTCATGAAATGTACAGAATAACCATACCTCAACAAGGTTGTCCTAATTCCTGACCAAAAATGAAAGCATTGCCTTGAAGACTGAAATGAGGAAGGTCCCTTAATTAGATAACACAAAGTGAAATTTGTTTGCAGAGTGCTATAAGAAATTACGTTGCCATGAAAGTCACAGTGTATTAGCCAGTGCCAAATATGTCCAATTAATCGATTATGTATTGTGCTTATGTTGCATTATTGTGTTAACACAAGTTGGAGGGAGGGAAGGAATAATTTTAAAGTGATACTTTGGATACTAAAAAATTGTCCATGGAATATGGGCTTTGTGCTTAATTAAAATACCAATATATTTTTTCATCATTTCATAAATATGCAGTAAAACGTAACTAGTCAATTTGGTCTTTGTTCTGTGTCATTGTGGCAAGTATATCAAGGTGGATACATTTGTACCAAATCATTCCCCATTGTTTTGGCCAAGCACAGGCGAGTGCATTGTATTGTGTGTATTTTGGATGTTCTGCGCCTGAAGTGAACAAGGAACAGCTGGATTTTGATGTAATATTGTGTTCATAGATGTTCACTAACTAAAACTTAGGGGGAAAGTATGTGTTTTTATGTTATTTGACAATTAGGACAGGTATTCAAAGATCTAACAAAGCTTTTTTGTTTGTTTTATTAAATATATTCCAAATCAAAACTGTTTTAGATGTGTTATTTTTTTTAAAGTCAGTCATATGCATTTGTTTTGTCATGATTAGGTGCATCAGATTTGTTTGCTGGTTAATTATATTTTTTTATGTTAATCGTGGTTTTCTGAATTAGAAAATGTCCATTTTTGTCCATCGTGTATGGATGTTTTGCTCAGAGTAATGGGGTATGTTTGTGACATTAATATATTCTCTTATTTATATATGATCTTGTGTGTCAAAATTCTGTTGTACTTCTATATTAAGGTGTGGACCACTAGGTATACAGATTTATCTGCAGTATTCATGTGA